TTAAAGATTTATTTATCTCAGAGAAAGGGTGAGACCATGGGGGAAAGGGCAGAAGGAAAGAGAGAATCCTGAAGCAGACTCCCCACTGAGCGCGGAGCCTGACGCAGGGCTCAATCCCACCCTGAGATCACCACCTGAGATCACCAAGAGTCGGCAGCTCAACAGACTGAGCCACCCGGGTGCCCCACCCTGGATGTACCTTTTAGAGCACTTACTACATTAAGTCAGTTATTTGATTACTTAGTCTTCTTGGCTAAGAGATGAGCTCCTATAAGAGTCATCATTACTTCCCATTAAGACAGCATCCCTGTAGTAAGCCTAGGGCACAGCACATTACAGATGCTCAATAGATTTTGACTGGCTCCTTGCCTCTTACTTTCATTCATCCAGTGTCTTCTTTCTCCCATACCTGGCTCTAGTTCAATTACCTTCACCTCTATCAGGTGCCACAGTCTTTAAGATGCTGTGAACAAAAGCTGAAATGTGCACAGGCATCGTAACAAAAAACAATTTGGTGTCAAAAAGATGGCATTTGGCAAAATCAGTTAAGCCACCACTAGGATCACTCTCTGAATACTGGTTAACATATGTACAGTAACACTAATACAACAGAAACTAAGGGTGCAATAGGGCCAGGGGAGTAGAAAGTACCTGATTTCGTAGTGGAGGGTCTCTATGAGATGGGCAATGGAAGAGTCATTTTAGTTGAATTATAGCAAAGTACGGATATCTTTCTGTTGTGCTTCTTCTGTATCATGATGAAAACCTGACAATTCCTAGCCTGTCACACGACAAGTAGAACTAAGATTTACATTTTGTTGTGTAGGTAGCTCACCTTATATAATGTGGAAGGTTCACCTAAGTTTCTGATGGCAACAACCTCTTTACCTCCTCTAGGAAATTAGGGCGCTCATCCACTACCCCCACTCTACCCTCAATACTATTCTAATGCCTGATAGTGTTCCCAGGTCCAGATACTCACTTCCTTCCAGGAGAGGCCCCAGGATATCTATATTTGAGGAAATTAAGGGAAACATTCTGGTTGGAAATGGGAACCAGGGCACTTGTTTGGAAGCCACACACACATAGCAAAGGTATCGCTTTACCAGGTAGTGTTTGTTTTGTATGGGCAGTTAAGTGGTTAGGGGTACCAACCGGCTGCCTGCGTTCATTTCCTAACTCTGCTACTTAGTGGCTGTGTCATATTGGGCAACTTTCTACTAAAGTTTCTGTGCCTAAATTCTCACTTGTGGAAATGCAAATAGCAACGCTACATCGCTAATAAGGTTGTGTGAGGAGTATGTGGGTTAATATCCACAAAGCGTCTAAAAATGTGTCTGGTACAAGGTAAATGCCATGTAAATGTTCACTCTTGATAATATTTACTTAGCTTTCATGTCATAAAAATGAATGTTTTGAAACAAATGTTTTGAAACATTATATACATATACGTTATATAAACATACATTATATATTTATATTACATATAATCTTATAAAAATATTAAAAAACAGACAGGTTGAAGATGATCATCAGGGAAGAAGCACTAAAAGTCCTTTCAAATACCCCTTGGTATCACACCATTTCCCTCTTTGTGCTATAGAAATAGGACTCTTTTTCAACTCTCTCTGCTTCCTCATATCTCCTGTTAATTACCTCTGCTACCAGTAATAATTCTTTCCCTCAGATCATAGCCTGGAATCTGTCACCTGTTCATAGATGTCTGCAATTGATTCTGTACATCCCTTTGTCTCTATCTCAACCAAAGTCAATTCAATCATTGTCTCCCTCTGGTAATTATTTACTGAACAGGAAGATTCATGAAACATCTGTTGTATGTTACCATGTGATTCTTATAATCAATTCCTACCACTCTCCTTACTTGATTGGCACTGCACAGTTTCCCAGAAATTTGGACATTTCCTAGATTGTATTTCTTTTTGAGATTCTGTATGAAAGGGCCAAATTATTTTATATTTTTTTCAAATGTCATACCCATAACTACTAGAGCAAGGAAGTTTCTTTTAATATGCAAAAAAGATAATTTTCCTATACTGGGTATTTAAAAGCTGGGAGGATTGCTTGGATAGTTGTTAACATGAATTTCTAAATTCTTCAATTGCATGCAGGGATCACAATTAGGCACCCCCTTTCCATTAAGCCTCAGAGTCAACTTTTAAAATCACCTCATGGATATGGTTAGATATGTACAATGTCATGGTAAGCAGACCAAACGGTTCACAGTTTCAAGTGGATTTTGACAATAAACTCTGCTAACATTAGTGACATAGCCAAACAGAGGGAAGTCTGGCAGAAGTGGAACTCAAAAGAATCACAGAGATAAAGACTGACAGTGTTATTCTAATTCCCAGACATGAAGAAGCTGCCCTAAGTAATAGATGGGAGTGTCTGGCCGATACATCCTTATTGACAGATATATCGCCCCAGGTGTACCCTGTCCCTAGCTGGATTCCTTGAACCCTGGAAGCATATGACTCTCCTTGCAATGATCATTTGATCATCAGCCAGTCCTCTGACTTAGAGTCCCATGAAGTTTTCCACCACAGTTACAGAATGCACTGGTCAGGCCAAATCAAGCATCCCATGCAGTTAAACATTACATATCTTATTTTAAATTAATAATCTGTCAAACCAGTTTCTCTTCCAATGTCAGTCAGTATTTTCATGTCTTAGTTTCTGAATTTCAAAACAGAGAGCCAGACCCTTGTAAAAACCTTTTACAAGATTTCTGTAAAATTCGTACCTTTGAGATGGAAAGAATTCTAACAAATTTCAGATATTCAGATTCTTTAAGATATCCCACAATCAAAAAAATTTTTCAGAATGAAACTATTTATTTGCCATTGAATTACCTATTTTGCATTTTTTCACTCATTTGCACAGCATAAATGTATAGAATAGCTACCAAATTCTAAGAGCTGTGCTAGACAACTGGGCTGGAACCACAACATACGATCACTTCTCTTTGTGGAGTTCACTGTGTCTTGAATGGCCCTAACATCACATTGGAGGGATGGCCTTTGACTAAACCATTACATCACATCAAGTCAGCTGTTGGCCAAGGTACATACCAAGGACAGCTTCAAATGTTTGCCCTGTCCTGATTCTGGGAGTCAGGCCACATCACACCCTATCTTGAGATATGACAATCAAACCTGTGTTTCAATTTCCTCCACCCTCTCCTGCTTCTTATTTGTCTCTTCTTATTATATTCTCCTCCTCCTCCTTGTTCTCCTTCCTGTCCCTTCCCCTTCATCTTTTTCTTTCTTCTTTGGCAGGCAGCCGGCTTTTTGAAGATTCATCTCCAACACATGCATTTGCCAGGCATGTAATTTCTTTAAATAAATGCGTCCTTAATATCTTCCAGGGGCTTGGGGGCGCCTGGGTGACTCAGTTGGTTAAGCATCTGTCTTTGGCTCAGGCCATCATCCCCGGGTCCTGGGATCAAGCCCTGAGCTGGGCTCCCTGCTCAGTGGGAAGTCTGCTTCTCCCTATCCCTCTGCTCTTCCCCACCCCCCGCCACAACCGCTTGTGCTCTCTCTCTCCCTCTCGAATAAATAAATAAAATCTTTTAAAAAAAATATCTTCCAGGGGTTTGAAGGGGTTCACACATTCTATAGAATTTTTTTCTTTCTTTTTTTTTTTTTTTTTTAAAGATTTTACCTATTTATTTGACACACAGAGAGAGACAGCCAGAGAGGGAACACAAGCAGGGGGAGTGGGAGAGGGAGAAGCAGGCTCTCCGCCGAGCAGGGAAGCCCGATGCGGGGCTCGATCCCAGGACCCTGGGATCATGACCTGAGCCGAAGGCAGATGCTTAACGACTGAGCCACCCAGGTGCCCCTATAGAATTTTTTTCTTATTTTAATGGTGATTTTATTTTAATAATATAAAATGTTTTACAGTAATAATTCATAACATAGTTTTTTCATTTATTTTTACAGAATATATTTTAGCTTCTCTAATTCATTTCTTTTTTTGCAAACTGAGATCCTTAGCACCCAGTAGGAATCCAAGGACATATTCTAGGGAGCCCATAAAAACTGGGTCCTTTGGAAACACTACTCTAAATCTAAACAAATAATTCTACCCTTTGCCCTAAAGAAATTGCTTACTTAACTAAAAATAAACAGATGGAGCTAAGTGGCAGAAATCAGTCTTTCATGCTATCTATATTTCCAGCACAAATTAAAGACAAGGATGAGATGGGCTCCTATGAAAATGGGCAATATTACCAGGTCTTTCTTATACTCACATATTGAATACTGTGAATTTGTATCATATCGCTTATTCACCTCTTTATATTTATAAAAACAAAATCCAAAGTCCAAAAACATGGCTTCCAATTCATCCCTGCTAGTACTGCTCTCTGTTGCCATAGAAAAGTTGCTGATTATATGCCAAAAAAATCTTCATACCGCTTATTTTAAATTACAAACAGCATTTAAACATGAACTGGATGTCAAAGATTATTCAGAATGCCAGCTATTTAAAGATATGAATCTATAATGGAATTTTCTCTTCCATATTAGAGTTCTATTCCCTTTAGTTTGGGTAGATCTGTTGAAATAGAAAGTCTGAAGAAAAGTACTGATGAGAAAATACCTAGCCAATCCTTAAAGCTTCCCTTGCAGCCTGTTCTTCCTGTAGCTGGGATTATAACAGTAGCTAGGACCACTGAATGAGCGTGTGATTCCTACTTATCTCTCCACTAGGTTGTTTGGAAAGAAAGGCATGGGATGTCACTGGGATTCATAAAAGGCGTGAACCCTTTCCAGAGTCCCCAGATATCACAGTGCTGAAAGTGTTAAAGTTTAAATTCTAGGTAGCTTTCCTTACCTTAACGCAGGACACCAATATCTGGAAACCAGACTTTTAAAGTTCTTTCTCTGTTCCAGTTCTGACAGTACAATTTTCCCACAAAATACTGCTTGAGGATGTGCATGCATATGGATTAGGTTAGAAGGTAATTCACTTACCACGATAAATTAGATACAGACATTGCAGCAATTTATGGAGGAGTCTTGTGGAGAAGTTTTCTCTAGATTTCAGAACAGGGAATGAGTAGGTCAAGTAGACAAGACCACTGGGAATTTTAGCTTTGCTGCTGGAATGATACACTTACAGTTTGAAATAACCTACAAAGAAAAGAAATAAAATGTTATCTATAGAACCCAGTCTATATGACTTTTCACAAACGTATTTCATCCAGGTCAATAGTTTTGTCATGGTATAAGACACACAAAAAATACATTTTTCTCAAAATATAAGACATATTATAAACCAAAGATAAAATTAAATCAACCCTATGATAAGCTGAATGCTTTACCTTTAAAATAAGTTTAAAGATTAATACAATGTTCATTCCCTGAAGTAGAGAATACAGGGAAAGAACAGAATGTGTTTTTAGATGCACCAATTTTTTTCTCCATATGGTCAATCAGTTATGCTCTCTAAATTAGTTTTATATACTTGTACTAAAAGGATCAAAACAAAGATCCTAATTGGCCATAGCACACATTAAAAAAAAAAAAAAAAAAAGCTCCTTGGCACAAATTATTATCATGTCCAAAGCTGTAACAACAACAAAAAAATAATAATTCACTACTACTTCTAAGCAAATGAGAATTTTTATTGAGTAACATGTGGGAGGCAAGGCAGTATGTATTTACCTAACCTTTCCACACACTTTTTATGAGCATCTACTCTGCAGTGTGTCCTATGATCTTGAACCAAAATTTCTGTAGGGCACAATTAACTCCATGGTACTGTATTAGGGACTTCAGTTCAGGTCATTAACCCAGTACAGTTCAATTAAACAAACATTCATTGAGGATATACTATGTGTACATACACTATCCCAGGTACAGTTCAGGGATAAGGATAAATGACACACAAATAAGACATGTTTCTGCCTTCAAAGAATGTTTTATGTAAAAAAGATGATTATAGGGCGCCTGGGTGGCTCAGTTCGTTAAGCGACTGCCTTCGGCTAAGGTCATGATCCTGGAGTCCCGGGATCGAGTCCCACATCGGGCTCCCTGCTCAGCAGGGAGTCTGCTTCTCCCTCTGACCCTCCTCCCTCTCGTGCTCTCTCTCATTCTCTCTCTCGCAAAAAAAAAAAAAAAAAAAAAAAAAAACCTGAAAAAAAAAAAAAGATGATTATAATAAAATGGAGTAAGTTTTCTAATAAAGGTTTACACAGAGTATATAGAAGCAAAAAGACTGAGCAAAGCCAGTCTTAGGGATTTGGAAGGATTTCTAAAGAAGATACGGACCAAACTACTAACATTAGGTTTGGCTGCAAATTAAAAAAAAAAAAATTCCAAACTCAGAGTGGCTTAGAAAAGACAGTTTATTTCTCTCTCCTATAAACAAATCTTGAGTCTTAAGAAGTCCAAAGAAGATACAGCAATTCTATAAACACACAAGATGGAGACTTCCTTCTTGTCATTCTACCATTCTCACCATGTGGTTCCCCTACATGTTCCAAGTGGCTGCTGAGCTCCAGAGAGTCTCTGTGTTCCAGTCAGCAAGAAGAAGAAGGAAAGAAGGATGCTTTCTGAAATTTACACATGACATTTCTCCTTGCACTTCACAGGACACAGCTTAGTCACTTGGCCACTCTTATTCTATTGGAGTCTAGAAAATGAAGCCATTATTCTAGGCAGCTACAAACCAAGGTGTCTATTAGAAACTGGGGATAAAAGTGGGTATTGGGAGAAAACTAGCATTGTCTGCCATTATGTTTGTGACTCGGTGACTTTTACTCACAATATTTTATGATTCTGTACCTACTGCAAAGTGACAAATGTGGGGCAGAGGTGAGGTGCAATCAGTCTGTGGTTTGTTGGTAATTTTACGTATTTGATATATAACATTAAACATCAAACTCCTTCAGTTTTCTTAAATCATTCATAGAATCAACAAAATATTTTGTGTGCCCTATTATTTACCAGACTCTAAGTATGAAGGACACAAGATTAATAAAATATGGTCTTTGCACATAAAGAATTTACTGTCTAACATAGATGTCATCATGTAAAAAAATAAAAAATAAAATGCACTCTGAAAATTGCTCAGTATATACAAGGGCATATGAGCAGCTACAGGGGAAGAGAGAAATAACCATAATTCTAATGGATTCTAATTTTAATAGACCCTGTCTGCCAGTTGAGTAAGCAGCTATAAGATCTATATCTTAAATGGTCTCCTTACATTCCCAAAGAGGTTTTCAAGTCCACCCTGCCCTTGGTTAATTGTTAAAGCATATGGACTTCCATCTGTTAAGGACAGAGGAACTCCAAATTCTGCTCCCAAAATTGGTAACTTCAAACTCTCAAAATCTGTATTACCTGATTCTTATCAAGGGTTTGATTACCAAAAAAGAAAAAAAAATAAAAATGTATGTACTATTGTCTGATATAATTCATTCTAGATAATCTTAATTCTTAATTCTATTTTTAGAGAGCTGTGTATCTGGATGTCATTATTTTAATATGTAACCAAATTACTTTTACTGAATTATACTTTGGGGTTTTGCCAAGAGTTTGCATTGAGGGATGTCAGTAAAGATAATAAATAAATAAGTGAAATCCAGGCCTGTGAAATCAGCTATAAGGTTTAGCAGGATATTTACCAACACAAAAATGTTGCCCTTATGAGCACTCAAAGCAAAAATGTGCCAAGTTTCAACACTAAGAAAACTATTATTCTAAAATTCTGAGTTGCTTTAATCCTATGGGGACATTATCCTTCTTTCTTTGCTTTAACTTCTGAGAAGCCCTGCAACAAATTTGTCACATTTCTTTAAGAACTATTCCAGGCTTCAAGGTCTGCATTTTTATCCTAACTTTTTTTTACCTTTTCGGGCAAGTTTAATTTTTAACCTGTTTTTGATAAACACACATACATATACAAACATATGTACATATATATATACATGCATGTAAATAAATATAAAACCCTCCCTAAGTCTTTTTTAGAGTGAGAAAGAATATAATTAAAAACAACAATTCCAGATTTACCTGCTTCTGAAGAATATAGGAATAACATGTGAAGAAATTTGATTTCAGGATCTTTGATCAAACCATATGAAACTATTGTTTTTATAGGTCAAAATGGCCAAGTATTATCAATGTATATGGTGCAACTTTATATAACTGAAGGGTTGACCAAAACAGCCTCTTACTGTTGCCTTCAACCTGACTCAACTTTAGACAGGCTTCTTCCTGACTCTAGACCCCTGACCTCTCTTTTCTTATAGTGTTTACTATAGAAAACTTGCAATTGTAAATTCTTCCTCTGCCCCTTTGAGATAAGAATCTATCAGTTTATTGCCAGTTGCACAACCCAGTAATGTCTTTCTTAAGGACTTCCATCCATTGGAAATGTAACCATCAAAGATTGTGCTCTACCTCCCAGTCTCTGTGGGAGGATAGGTGCCTAACTTCTTTAAGTACCAACCAGCAAACACAGATGGCCTGATCACATTGAGCAACCTCCTCCTAACATCCTCCAGTACTTTTCAACTAGCTCACTCTAGCACTTAAACCCTCCTGTCCTCTGTTTCAGCAGAATTGAGATCAGTCACTGTCCCTTATTCCAAAAGTCTTGAATTAAGTTTTCCTTGCCTGTTGAACTCAGCCTGGTTTAATTTTTCTTTGGGAGGATATTTTTTTTTTTTTATTCCTTAAAGTTCAGGAAAATTTCCTAAGATACTGGCAATGTTGTTAAAAAGTACAGTCTTTTCTCAATGCCCTTTACCTGTAATAACTACCAACTTGGATTTTTAAAAGTTTATATTAAATGTGGACTTATAAAATAAAATAAATATTAGAAAACTGCATTTTTTTCTGATTTTATACCTAGGTATTTATAAGAATAAAATATATGAACATAAAAAAATTCATAGTGGCCCTTCATAATGATTTACAATAATCACTCTGGCATTTATTTTGGTATTATATCATCTTTTATTTTCATTTGCATCCTATAACTATCTAATTTATTTTTTCAAGCATACATACCCACCAGACATTCAATAAAGTTTACTAAATTTTGTAACACAAAAAAGACTATGATGTGATGTTTTCAAAGGCCTTAGAGGTGGACTTGTTATTCCCTTTAAATGGCACTAAATGATTCATTGCTTGCCAGTGAAACCTTTCCAAAGAAAATATCTTTAGGATTTTCAGGAGAGATTAAATTTTCTGTACATTTTGATGATTCATAATCTTTTTTTTATAAGGATTTATTCATTTATGAGAGAGAGAGAGCATGAGCAAGAGGGGCAGAGGGAGAGAGAATCTAAAGCAGATTCCATGCTGAGAGCGGAGCCTGACTCGAGGTTTAATCCCAGAACACTGAGATCATGATCTGAGCCAAAACCAAGAGTCAAATGCTTAACCAAGTGAGCCACCCAGGGGCCCCCATGATTCACAATCTTTATGCAAATCCCAACAGCATTCTCCACACTTAAGTATGAATTTATAGCTTTCAGGCGAAATTCTAACATTACTAACAGCCTCCACCTGCCTCACTGTCACAAAGAGAGTGTATTTTCACATTAGGGAAAACTTTTTAAAATATATGGATTGATTTGACTTTGCCTGAATGCCCAGCCATGATTGTAAGTTATAAGCATACGCACAACTGTTCTCTTGAGGTCACTCCTTTAGCACAACGTTAAGGAAAATAGTATGTGAATTTAATACAAGATCCCTCATTTGACATATTCATTAAAAATGTGAATAACCTGGGGCACCTGGGTGGCTCAGTCACTTAAATGTCTGACCCTCGATCTCAACTCAGATCTTGACCTCAGGACTATGAATTCAAGCCCTGTGCTGGGCTCCATGCTGGGCCTGGAGCCTTATGAGAAGGGAGAGAAAAGAGAGAGAAGAGAAGAGAGAGAAGAGAAGAGGAAGAGGGAAGAGGAGGGAAGAGAAGAGAAGAGAAGAGAAGAGAAGAGAAGAGAAGAGAAGAGAAGAGAAGAGAAGAGAAGAGAAGAGGAAGAGGGAAGAGGAGGGAAGAGAAGAGAAGAGAAGAGAAGAGAAGAGAAGAGAAGAGAAGAGGAAGAGGGAAGAGGAGGGAAGAGAAGAGAAGAGAAGAGAAGAGAAGAGAAGAGAAGAGAAGA